AAAGGGGGGAAAGAAAGGGAATATCCCCAGATGCTTGCCAGCTGTTAGCAAAAACCACATCAGAGCTCACAACCTCACCGTCACGAGTTTGAAAGTCATCTCTACGAATGCCATTGAAGTTTCCACAAAGACCGCATGTACCATTCTGGTAAGTGTAGGGCAAGCTGATCTGGACATAATGATCTGTGTCATAAGACACCACTAAACCAAAGTCAGTGCTGACAAACACAGAAAAACCTGACTCATAAACCTGCACGGTGCCATTGCTAAGGGAGAATGGAGTGGATGCAAAGTTCCCGTTAACCTGTAAAAAAACCAGCAAATATATCAAGTGAGAAAAGTATAGTCATAAAGTGTAGAATTTATCCAGAATCAAAATGACCAACCTTAGCCTGACCATGGCGTCCTTTGACAAGCTCAATTGTGTCATTGTAGACATGCACTTTCACCAGTCGTGTCCAAGAGACTCGAGTACTGCCTCTGTGCTCATTTTTGCCTTCTACTCTGTAGTAGGGCTGTCCACTATTACATTGCTCAGAGAGAACATACGTGCAAGTGCCTTGAAAGTGAAACACTGTGTTATCAAAGGTGTAGTAATGGGGATCACCGCTTATGGTGCAGGTTCCTCTTGGCACTGTCTGACAGGAGAACTGGAAGGAAGCTGGCTTGCAGATCTGTGAAAAGGAGCACGGCTCATTGCGGCACTGCAAGCCTGTTAAGGTACATGTGCACTTCTGTGCACAGGTCCTGTCACTCCAGAATGAAGTACCCAGCTGCACTAATTCACCTTAAAAAGAATAAAAGGAAATGTCCCTTATGCCTTGTGTTAAATGTCCAGACATTTACATTCATAAAGCTTTAGGAAAAAACTTTCAAACCTTACATTTTTGTCATGTACTGTCAAATAACAGCAGGAATTGCCTCAAGGCACTTTATATTGTAAACTAAAGACCCTCAAATAACAGAGAGACCACTGCAACAATCCAACAATGCCTAACAGCAGTCTGAGATGTGCTCTGTTGGGAGGATAATCTTAACCAGTACTTTAATGGCATGAAATAGTGTTTTCCCAAGCGATGTTGAGAAAAAGAGCAAACATGTGTAGATTGAGACCAAAAGGTTCTCATATTCCCTCATTTTTCCGATCTCGTCATTTAGGAACGTGTTGGGTGTCCAAAAACGTAATATGTTGACAATTTGTCACCTAGCATAAAATGTTACGCTTTGAGAGTGAGAACGTGTTGGATAATAACGAATCACAGTAGGCCAGACTTTAACCCTTTAAGACCTACCATAGAACCAAGTCCGCCAGAGCTTACTTTATATTTTTACATGCTGTAGTGCCATTTTTGGGAGCATTTCAAGTTGATATACATCAATACAACCATTATAGCCCAAATTTTAATAATATGTCTGCATTAAGTGCATAGTAATTACATAAATTGCAAAAAAGTGCAATAAACTACAAAAAATAAATCGTTTTTGTTTTTTTAACATATATTTCTAGTTAGAGAAATTTAAGAGGCTTATCCCTCAAAACTTTAAATACAAAAAAGTTGCACAAAATAGTTTCCCACCACAGGAAATTTATTTTGAGTGTCTTATAGTTTTATTTTTGAAATACACCAATTTTTATATACTGCAGGAAAAACGAAAATAAATATTATAGTGCAAATTTGCAAAAAAACAGCATATGCATCAAAATAAACTATTTCCAGCAGTGCAATATGAGTCCTAAGCATCCCAGAAACGACACAGAAAGTCATAGAGTCAAACATAACTTTTAAAAACACCAGTATAGGCTCATAAGGCCCTGATGGTAAAAAACTACATTTCCGGAAAAAGACATCACTTCCGGTTTTGGGCAGGATATGGCGGACATGCGATAGTTCGCGCTGATGGACGTAGGAAGTGTTACAAACAGCTGATCGAATCAGCAAAGCGTGTTTCTGGAATATTATGTTTTTGTTGCTGCAAGTGCTTTTTATGCAGTTTTTGCAAAGCTATATGTGGAAGGAAACTGTGACTTAGGACAAGCTGGTGGCATAAGATGTAAGTACAACTCCTCCGGTTTCATATGCAAAAAAAGTTATTGTGCTAGCTTATGTGGTTGCAGTGCTACCAGGATTTAAAGATAGTTATGCAACACAGAGCGTGCCCGCTCCGACCGGCTTTAAAGGGTTAAGTAATAAATGCATGAACTAATTTTTTGGCGTCACTCTGAAATAGGATTTTTCTAATTAAAATGCAAGAAAGCCATTCTAATTATTTGTTTAATATGAGCACTGAAGGACATAACCTGGTCAAAAACAATGCAAACTTTTCTCTTAGTGTTTCTGGAGGCCATGGTAATCCCAATCCGAGTGTGCATCGGGTTAGACATCATGTTTATAAGAGTTTTATAGCTGAGTACAATAATCTTATCTTTATCTGAATTTGAAGCAGAAAATTAAAGATCATCCATGTCTTTATGTCTTTAAGACATTCCTACAGTTTAGTCTCATGGTTTCATTGACAGAGCTGGAGATCATCTGCATAGCAGGGAAAATGTACACGATACCTTTGAAAGATACTGTGCAGGTGGTAGCATTGTAACAGCCCAGCTGGCCGTCTCTGATGGAGCACTGCTGTTCAGGAGTGCACGACGAGGCAGAACATCGCAGGTCATTTGGAGCGTGACATTCACATCTCTGGGAGCAACCGTCTGTCCAGAAGGACTCGCCAGCCTGTGAACCACACCACACCAAATCATAGCCAAATTGATACAACAAATATAGTTCTTAAAATACCATTTTGAAGGATTTTGTTTTCATTAATTGTAGGTGATTTAGTGCAGTAATTGCTAGATCACTGCAAACTGCAACTATTAATGTACTAAATATTGTGACAGAGCAACTACTCATATCTGTTGATCTTTCTCCCACAGAAAGGACAGATGCTAAATGCCACAATTTGAAGAAATTGTTCTGTTCTGATGTAGCTGTATAATCTTCAACTGATTGTTTAATGCATTCATTTATTTAGGGACAGATTTATTCCTCCCCAAAATTCTGCAGTTTAAAGAGTTAGAGCATCATTCTGCTTGTATAGCTACATATTAATTATTTTCTTTTTAGTGGTGTAATATAAAACGGTCATAATAGCTATGCTGAATATATGATAGCAAATGAAGACCTTTTTTGTGATCCTAAGATTTCAGTTATATGAAACTATAAACTGTAGTTTTGCATTTTGCAACCCCTATTATTTGCTATTTCATAGAAACTACCACATTTCCAGGTATTCATCATGCTTCCTGAAATTTTTCATTTGGTTTGGATTTTATTTGGTTATTAACATGGAACTAACATTTTTTCCATGTTGCAGCCCTGATTCCTGGTTATTAGACCTAAACTACCACATGTTTCCAGGTAACGTCAGTTTGCATTTTGTAGCCTTGTTTCTTGGTTATTGAACAGAAACCAACATTGATTCCAGGTAAGATATCAGATTTAAACATAATATTTACGGTGATACTGTTGTCAAACAAAAAAGAATGTTGGTGAATGAGGCAGGATTCATTCCAGCATTATGGCAATATGGTAATGGTATCCCAAAACATTAAAACTTAAAATCATATTAGTATCTTGTTACCCTATTATTATGAGATTAGTATATATAAAAATGTGTTTAATTGTTAGTAAATGTGACTATACTATTACTAATTGGGTTTTTTTAAGCTCATGTACATACATTTGTATCCATATTATCACTTATAATTTATGGTCTGTTATTACATAGATTTAAATGTAATAGTACTCACTAGATCACTTGCTTATTACTCTGGAAATGAAGTGGCAATTATTTGCTATATATCTTGTTTTTATCTTCCTGTTTCCACCTTGTTACCTCAATATTACCACATTATTACTGAGCTATAATAGACTCTGTTGTTTGTTTAATATATATTTCTGAATTTTAAGCTTTGTCACAGTCCAAAACACTTCACGAAGCTTTCTAAATGTAAGAAGGGCAAGTCTGCTGATTCTGCTGATTTGAAGGGAATTACTTCAAAGAGTATTTACTATTGACTTTAATATGTCTTACATCATAGTAGAATCCATCATACTGGCAGCCACAGCTTTCCACTGGGACACACCTGGTCCCACTCTTGATGAAGCCTTCATCACAGAAACATCCCTCAGAGCAGAACTGCTCACAGGTTTCATCAATGCTACTGGCACAGGTGTGGCCACAGTCAGTACCGCACAGCTCATAATGGCTGTTGGCTGGACAGTCCAGTGCTTAATAAGTGAGAAACGTGACAAATGGCACTAATCAGACATACCACTTTTAATGTAATACAGTGTGGATACAGTGAGTATTGTAAAATTATTGGACATTTTATTTCTGAAGTGGTTAGCAAATTTCTTGTACATTTAGATATAAATAAAATATAATGACATGTTGACTCACTGCAGGTGGTGTTCTCTCTCCAGGGATAGATTCGAACATTAGCAGACTGACAGGCACTGACATATGATTCAATGGCACTGCACAAGAGATCGTGGCCTTGATTTCCTGACAAACATACATCAAACACGCAGTCGTTGAAATATGGCGCCGGGTCCACCTCCTCGTGGCAGAAACTGAAGGGCCCATCAGCTGCCTGTATCACCTCACACTGATCACTAGCAGGCTGTTCATTGGCACACTGTGGACAGGAGGAGCCACAGCCATCATTGCACGTGTAGTTGCCTGGCACCTTCCAGGCTCTCCCAAACTCATCTGGAGATGTGACTATCGTTCCAGATGGTGTGTGAAAGTCATCATTTGGATTTCCATTGAAATTTCCACAAAGTCCACATATTTTTTCTCTGTTGATGACAACAGTTAGCAATAGTCCTTGTGTTAGTTTCATAAGGATAAATTATTAGTAAATAAATTATTTATATAGCTGGGATTATCCTGTTTTTTAAAGCATGTCAAACAATAATTACTGCAGCTTTGATGGGTGGGAATTGTACCTGTAATTTGGTGGTACGGAGATAAACACTGCACTATATCCATTATAGGTAACACTCAAGCCGAAATTAGTGCTGGCAACTATACGAGATCCTGTTGCATAGATAGACACATTACCTTCATTCAAGATAATAGGTAAATATCTAGTTACTCCATTCACCTAGAAGAGATATGCAAAGAAAATCAGTGGGTAGTTTTTCTACTTTTTAATTGTTATTTTTTTCATTCACTGCAGTAAAAATATCCCTAAAATATATGTAGCTGCCATTTACTTCATACACCTGAAATTGTTCATAACAATTATCGAATGAGAACTATCACTAACTACTTACTTGTACCAAACCTCTTCTGTCCCTTGACATATGCACGTTGTAGCCCCACACATTCACAAAAACTTCAGCTACTATTGAAAGTGGACGCCCATTCAATGCCTCATTCTTAGCTTCCACGGAAAACTGACTGAGCTCATCAGTGGCATTACAGAGGGTCACCAGAACATAGCGGCAGGTTCCTTGGAAGTCATAGGCCTTACGATCAAAGGTGATGTAGTGAGGGTCTCCAGTAGCAGAGCAGGTGCCATGAGGGTTGGGATGGCAGCCAAACTCGCCCTCCACCACACGGCAGGACTCCTGGGGCCCACAGGAGTTGGGAGTACAGTGGACGCTCCCTGTAGTGCCGTTACAGGTACACAAGCTCTGACATTCTTCACCATCCCAGAACTGCTCACCACCTTGGTGATAGCGTCCTTGATGATAGCATCCACAAGATGTTGGTGGAACGCACTGGTCACCATTGAGGATAAAACCACTGTTACACTGACAGCCCTCCTGGCACACAGTATCACAGGTGAAGGGGAAAGAGAGGCTGGGGCAAGCAGAAGGACAAGAGGTTCCACAGAGTTCATAATGGCTGTTTGATGGGCAGGTTAGTGCTGGAGAAAAACAAACAGGTTAACATAAAAAAGCATTTTTAAACATTTGGAGATCATGGCTAGAATTAATTCAAAAACAGTTGAATGCTTACCACAGCCAGTTGCATTTCTCCATTGTCCTAAGGCAACACCCTTCTGTTGACACATTAGTGCATAATTTCGTAGGACGCCACACAGAGTTGATGCTGGATTGTTAGAGCCCCCCATGATCTCCACACATACATCCACCTGATGCCTTGGGTCAACCACAGACCAACAGGGTACAAATGGCCCAGCTGGTGAGCTGAGAATGCCACAGTACTCAGTAGAATTGTAATTAGTTGTAGAATTTTGGTTCATGCTTTCCACGCAGTGAGCAGCCAGAGAGCCATCTCGCCAACTGTCTCCAAAGTCCTGAGAACTGTTGACCAGGACACCGTTGGGTGTATTGAAGTCATCATGTGGATGACCATTGTAATTACCACAGAGTCCACCCAGTGAACCATTGTAGACACCAGGAGCAGTGACACGGACAAAGTGAGGCCAGACTGTCTGCACAGTTACACCAAAGGAGGTGCGAATGATGACACTGTAAATGCTGCTGTGGAAGATCTGGATTCGGTTGGATGGAGTGCTGAAAGGTAGCCTGATCAGCTGACCGTTAACCTGCAGGATCATCCAGTTTTTTGCAGTTAACAAGACTTAAACAGTATTGTGTCCGTGTACACATAAATAAATATTAAAGGAAGAACATAATTTTAAGTAAGTGTTCCATTCACTTACCTTCACTTTACTGTTCCTTGCCATCTCAATAGATACGTGTATCCCCTCTGCTTCAAAATGCAGAATTCGTGCAAAACCTTGCTGGCCTCTTGGCACTTTTTCTGCTGTCACCATGAAGTGTGGGTGACTGGACAGTCCCATAACTTTGGCAAGTGTCAATCGACACGCTCCAGGATATTGGTATGTCAGTCCATCAAATGTCTGATATGACCCTGGGCCTCTGATCCAGCATGTTTCATAGCTATTTGGTCTGCATCCTCTTTCTCCATCCTCCACCCTGCATGATTCAAGTGGGCCACAACCATGAGAGTGGCAAGTCATGGAGCCATAACTGCAGCTACAACGTCTCCCACAGTCTTCGTCTAGTATTACAGTTTGTCCAGAGCGGTAGTAACGGCCCTCAAAGCTGCAGCCACACTCAGCATGAGGGACGCAGACCCCACCACTGAGGATGTAGCCTGAATCACAGATGCAGCTTTCCTGGGGAGGTAGAGGGCAGTTATGGGTAGAATTGGGATTAACACAGGTAGGTGGACATCCTGTGCCTTCAGACTCAAAGTGGCTGTTGGCTGGACATGGGATTTCTAGGAATAAGAGAACAACAGCGATATTTACATCGGTGGAATTTTAATACAATAATATTTTGAAATAATGCAAAAAAAAAAAGAAAGTGATTAACATACCACAAAAGCCAGGTGTCCTCCAACTTGGTAGCTGAATACCACTTTGTTGACACTGACTTGCATACACACTTAGGGCTTGACAGAGAATAGGTCGGTACCCTCCTCCTACACACAGATCATACACACAACTGTCCACAAAGGACTGTGGAGGAAGTTGCTGATGGCAAACCGTGAAAGGTCCAGAACTACTGCTGAGGATACCACAGTGGTCAGTGTTGCTGTACAATGCTGTCTCTTCTACGGTGCAACCAGCACAGTCCAGACCTCCGCACTGTGGCCCACAGCCAGGCTCATCATCCCAGATGCTTGCCAGCTGTTAGCAAAAACCACATCAGAGCTCACAACCTCACCGTCACGAGTTTGAAAGTCATCTCTACGAATGCCATTGAAGTTTCCACAAAGACCGCATGTACCATTCTGGTAAGTGTAGGGCAAGCTGATCTGGACATAATGATCTGTGTCATAAGACACCACTAAACCAAAGTCAGTGCTGACAAACACAGAAAAACCTGACTCATAAACCTGCACGGTGCCATTGCTAAGGGAGAATGGAGTGGATGCAAAGTTCCCGTTAACCTGTAAAAAAACCAGCAAATATATCAAGTGAGAAAAGTATAGTCATAAAGTGTAGAATTTATCCAGAATCAAAATGACCAACCTTAGCCTGACCATGGCGTCCTTTGACAAGCTCAATTGTGTCATTGTAGACATGCACTTTCACCAGTCGTGTCCAAGAGACTCGAGTACTGCCTCTGTGCTCATTTTTGCCTTCTACTCTGTAGTAGGGCTGTCCACTATTACATTGCTCAGAGAGAACATACGTGCAAGTGCCTTGAAAGTGAAACACTGTGTTATCAAAGGTGTAGTAATGGGGATCACCGCTTATGGTGCAGGTTCCTCTTGGCACTGTCTGACAGGAGAACTGGAAGGAAGCTGGCTTGCAGATCTGTGAAAAGGAGCACGGCTCATTGCGGCACTGCAAGCCTGTTAAGGTACATGTGCACTTCTGTGCACAGGTCCTGTCACTCCAGAATGAAGTACCCAGCTGCACTAATTCACCTTAAAAAGAATAAAAGGAAATGTCCCTTATGCCTTGTGTTAAATGTCCAGACATTTACATTCATAAAGCTTTAGGAAAAAACTTTCAAACCTTACATTTTTGTCATGTACTGTCAAATAACAGCAGGAATTGCCTCAAGGCACTTTATATTGTAAACTAAAGACCCTCAAATAACAGAGAGACCACTGCAACAATCCAACAATGCCTAACAGCAGTCTGAGATGTGCTCTGTTGGGAGGATAATCTTAACCAGTACTTTAATGGCATGAAATAGTGTTTTCCCAAGCGATGTTGAGAAAAAGAGCAAACATGTGTAGATTGAGACCAAAAGGTTCTCATATTCCCTCATTTTTCCGATCTCGTCATTTAGGAACGTGTTGGGTGTCCAAAAACGTAATATGTTGACAATTTGTCACCTAGCATAAAATGTTACGCTTTGAGAGTGAGAACGTGTTGGATAATAACGAATCACAGTAGGCCAGACTTTAACCCTTTAAGACCTACCATAGAACCAAGTCGCCAGAGCTTACTTTATATTTTTACATGCTGTAGTGCCATTTTTGGGAGCATTTCAAGTTGATATACATCAATACAACCATTATAGCCCAAATTTTAATAATATGTCTGCATTAAGTGCATAGTAATTACATAAATTGCAAAAAAGTGCAATAAACTACAAAAAAATTAAAATCGTTTTTGTTTTTTTAACATATATTTCTAGTTAGAGAAATTTAAGAGGCTTATCCCTCAAAACTGTAAATACAAAAAAGTTGCACAAAATAGTTTCCCACCACAGGAAATTTATTTTGAGTGTCTTCATAGTTTTATTTTTGAAATACACCAATTTTTATATACTGCAGGAAAAACGAAAATAAATATTATATGCAAATTTGCAAAAAAACAGCATATGCATCAAAATAAACTATTTCCAGCAGTGCAATATGAGTCCTAAGCATCCCAGAAACGACACAGAAAGTCATAAAGTCAAACATAACTTTTAAAAACACCAGTATAGGCTCATAAGGCCCTGATGGTAAAAAACTACATTTCCGGAAAAAGACATCACTTCCGGTTTTGGGCAGGATATGGCGGACATGCGATAGTTCGCGCTGATGGACGTAGGAAGTGTTACAAACAGCTGATCGAATCAGCAAAGCTGTTTCTGGAATATTATGTTTTTGTTGCTGCAAGTGCTTTTTATGCAGTTTTTGCAAAGCTATATGTGGAAGGAAACTGTGACTTAGGACAAGCTGGTGGCATAAGATGTAAGTACAACTCCTCCGGTTTCATATGCAAAAAAAGTTATTGTGCTAGCTTATGTGGTTGCAGTGCTACCAGGATTTAAAGATAGTTATGCAACACAGAGCGTGCCCGCTCCGACCGGCTTTAAAGGGTTAAGTAATAAATGCATGAACTAATTTTTTGGCGTCACTCTGAAATAGGATTTTTCTAATTAAAATGCAAGAAAGCCATTCTAATTATTTGTTTAATATGAGCACTGAAGGACATAACCTGGTCAAAAACAATGCAAACTTTTCTCTTAGTGTTTCTGGAGGCCATGGTAATCCCAATCCGAGTGTGCATCGGGTTAGACATCATGTTTATAAGAGTTTTATAGCTGAGTACAATAATCTTATCTTTATCTGAATTTGAAGCAGAAAATTAAAGATCATCCATGTCTTTATGTCTTTAAGACATTCCTACAGTTTAGTCTCATGGTTTCATTGACAGAGCTGGAGATCATCTGCATAGCAGGGAAAATGTACACGATACCTTTGAAAGATACTGTGCAGGTGGTAGCATTGTAACAGCCCAGCTGGCCGTCTCTGATGGAGCACTGCTGTTCAGGAGTGCACGACGAGGCAGAACATCGCAGGTCATTTGGAGCGTGACATTCACATCTCTGGGAGCAACCGTCTGTCCAGAAGGACTCGCCAGCCTGTGAACCACACCACACCAAATCATAGCCAAATTGATACAACAAATATAGTTCTTAAAATACCATTTTGAAGGATTTTGTTTTCATTAATTGTAGGTGATTTAGTGCAGTAATTGCTAGATCACTGCAAACTGCAACTATTAATGTACTAAATATTGTGACAGAGCAACTACTCATATCTGTTGATCTTTCTCCCACAGAAAGGACAGATGCTAAATGCCACAATTTGAAGAAATTGTTCTGTTCTGATGTAGCTGTATAATCTTCAACTGATTGTTTAATGCATTCATTTATTTAGGGACAGATTTATTCCTCCCCAAAATTCTGCAGTTTAAAGAGTTAGAGCATCATTCTGCTTGTATAGCTACATATTAATTATTTTCTTTTTAGTGGTGTAATATAAAACGGTCATAATAGCTATGCTGAATATATGATAGCAAATGAAGACCTTTTTTGTGATCCTAAGATTTCAGTTATATGAAACTATAAACTGTAGTTTTGCATTTTGCAACCCCTATTATTTGCTATTTCATAGAAACTACCACATTTCCAGGTATTCATCATGCTTCCTGAAATTTTTCATTTGGTTTGGATTTTATTTGGTTATTAACATGGAACTAACATTTTTTCCATGTTGCAGCCCTGATTCCTGGTTATTAGACCTAAACTACCACATGTTTCCAGGTAACGTCAGTTTGCATTTTGTAGCCTTGTTTCTTGGTTATTGAACAGAAACCAACATTGATTCCAGGTAAGATATCAGATTTAAACATAATATTTACGGTGATACTGTTGTCAAACAAAAAAGAATGTTGGTGAATGAGGCAGGATTCATTCCAGCATTATGGCAATATGGTAATGGTATCCCAAAACATTAAAACTTAAAATCATATTAGTATCTTGTTACCCTATTATTATGAGATTAGTATATATAAAAATGTGTTTAATTGTTAGTAAATGTGACTATACTATTACTAATTGGGTTTTTTTAAGCTCATGTACATACATTTGTATCCATATTATCACTTATAATTTATGGTCTGTTATTACATAGATTTAAATGTAATAGTACTCACTAGATCACTTGCTTATTACTCTGGAAATGAAGTGGCAATTATTTGCTATATATCTTGTTTTTATCTTCCTGTTTCCACCTTGTTACTCAATATTACCACATTATTACTGAGCTATAATAGACTCTGTTGTTTGTTTAATATATATTTCTGAATTTTAAGCTTTGTCACAGTCCAAAACACTTCACGAAGCTTTCTAAATGTAAGAAGGGCAAGTCTGCTGATTCTGCTGATTTGAAGGGAATTACTTCAAAGAGTATTTACTATTGACTTTAATATGTCTTACATCATAGTAGAATCCATCATACTGGCAGCCACAGCTTTCCACTGGGACACACCTGGTCCCACTCTTGATGAAGCCTTCATCACAGAAACATCCCTCAGAGCAGAACTGCTCACAGGTTTCATCAATGCTACTGGCACAGGTGTGGCCACAGTCAGTACCGCACAGCTCATAATGGCTGTTGGCTGGACAGTCCAGTGCTTAATAATGAGAAAAGCGAAAAATGGCAATAGTCAGACATACCACTTTTAATGTAATACAATCTGGATATAATGAGTGTTGTCAAATTAGTTAAGTGGTGAGCAAATTTCTTGTAAATTTAAATATGAATATAATAAAACAACATGTTGACTCACTGCAGGTGGTGTTCTCTCTCCACGGATAGATACGAACATTAGCAGACTGACAGGCACTGACATATGATTCAATGGCACTGCACAAGAGATCGTGGCCTTGATTTCCTGACAAACATACGTCAAACAGACAGTCGTTGAAATATGGCGCCGGGTCCACCTCCTCGTGGCAGAAACTGAAGGGCCCATCAGCTGCCTGTATCACCTCACACTGATCTCTAGCTGGCTGTTCATTGGTACACTGTGGACAGGAGGAGCCACAGCCATCATTGCACGTGTAGTTGCCTGGCACCTTCCAGGCTCTCCCAAACTCATCTGGAGATGTGACTATCGTTCCAGATGGTGTGTGAAAGTCATCATTTGGATTTCCATTGAAATTTCCACAAAGTCCACATATTTTTTCTCTGTTGATGACAACAGTTAACAATAGTCCTTGTGTTAGTTTCATAAGGATAAATTATTAGTAAATAACCCTCTTATGTAGATTGGATTATCCTGGTTTTTAAAGCATTTCAAATAATAATGACTGCAGCTTTGATGGGTGGGAAGTGTACCTGTAATTTGGTGGTACGGAGATAAACACTGCACTATATCCATTATAGGTAACACTCAAGCCGAAATTAGTGCTGGCAACTATACGAGATCCTGTTGCATAGATAGACACATTACCTTCATTCAAGACAATAGGTAAATTTCTAGTTACTCCATTCACCTAGAAGAGATACGCAAAGAAAATCAGTGGTTATTTTTTCTATTTTTTAATTGTTATTTTTTCTTTGACAGTAGTAAAAATATCCCTAAAACATGTAGCAGCCGTTTACTTCATGACTCTGAAATTATTCATTGCAGTCATCTAATCTGTAATATCATATCTACTTACTTGTACCAAACCTCTTCTGTCCCTTGACATATGCACGTCATAGCCCCACACATTCACAAAAACTTCAGCTACTGTTGAAAGTGGACGCCCATTCAATGCCTCATTCTTAGCTTCCACGGAGAACTGATTGAGCTCATCAGTGGCATTACAGAGGGTCACCAGAACGTAGCGGCAGGTTCCTTGGAAGTCATAGGCCTTACGATCAAAGGTGATGTAGTGAGGGTCTCCAGTAGCAGAGCAGGTGCCATGAGGGTTGGGATGGCAGCCAAACTCGCCCTCCACCACACGGCAGGACTCCTGGGGCCCACAGGAGTTGGGAGTACAGTGGACGCTCCCTGTAGTGCCGTTACAGGTACACAAGCTCTGACATTCTTCACCATCCCAGAACTGCTCACCACCTTGGTGATAGCGTCCTTGATGATAGCATCCACAAGATGTTGGTGGAACGCACTGGTCACCATTGAGGATAAAACCACTGTTACACTGACAGCCCTCCTGGCACACAGTATCACAGGTGAAGGGGAAAGAGAGGCTGGGGCAAGCAGAAGGACAAGAGGTTCCACAGAGTTCATAATGGCTGTTTGATGGGCAGGTTAGTGCTGGAGAAAAACAAACAGGTTAACATAAAAAAGCATTTTTAAACATTTGGAGATCATGGCTAGAATTAATTCAAAAACAGTTGAATGCTTACCACAGCCAGTTGCATTTCTCCATTGTCCTAAGGCAACACCCTTCTGTTGACACATTAGTGCATAATTCGTAGGACACCACACAGAGTTGATGCTGGATTGTTAGAGCCCCCCATGATCTCCACACATACATCCACCTGATGCCTTGGGTCAACCACAGACCAACAGGGTACAAATGGCCCAGCTGGTGAGCTGAGAATGCCACAGTACTCAGTAGAATTGTAATTAGTTGTAGAATTTTGGTTCATGCTTTCCACGCAGTGAGCAGCCAGAGAGCCATCTCGCCAACTGTCTCCAAAGTCCTGAGAACTGTTGACCAGGACACCGTTGGGTGTATTGAAGTCATCATGTGGATGACCATTGTAATTACCACAGAGTCCACCCAGTGAACCATTGTAGACACCAGGAGCAGTGACACGGACAAAGTGAGGCCAGACTGTCTGCACAGTTACACCAAAGGAGGTGCGAATGATGACACTGTAAATGCTGCTGTGGAAGATCTGGATTCGGTTGGATGGAGTGCTGAAAGGTAGCCTGATCAGCTGACCGTTAACCTGCAGGATCATCCAGTTTTTTGCAGTTAACAAGACTTAAACAGTATTGTGTCCGTGTACACATAAATAAATATTAAAGGAAGAACATAATTTTAAGTAAGTGTTCCATTCACTTACCTTCACTTTACTGTTCCTTGCCATCTCAATAGATACGTGTATCCCCTCTGCTTCAAAATGCAGAATTCGTGCAAAACCTTGCTGGCCTCTTGGCACTTTTTCTGCTGTCACCATGAAGTGTGGGTGACTGGACAGTCCCATAACTTTGGCAAGTGTCAATCGACACGCTCCAGGATATTGGTATGTCAGTCCATCAAATGTCTGATATGACCCTGGGCCTCTGATCCAGCATGTTTCATAGCTATTTGGTCTGCATCCTCTTTCTCCATCCTCCACCCTGCATGATTCAAGTGGGCCACAACCATGAGAGTGGCAAGTCATGGAGCCATAACTGCAGCTACAACGTCTCCCACAGTCTTCGTCTAGTATTACAGTTTGTCCAGAGCGGTAGTAACGGCCCTCAAAGCTGCAGCCACACTCAGCATGAGGGACGCAGACCCCACCACTGAGGATGTAGCCTGAATCACAGATGCAGCTTTCCTGGGGAGGTAGAGGGCAGTTATGGGTAGAATTGGGATTAACACAGGTAGGTGGACATCCTGTGCCTTCAGACTCAAAGTGGCTGTTGGCTGGACATGGGATTTCTAGGAATAAGAGAACAACAGCGATATTTACATCGGTGGAATTTTAATACAATAATATTTTGAAATAATGCAAAAAAAAAAAGAAAGTGATTAACATACCACAAAAGCCAGGTGTCCTCCAACTTGGTAGCTGAATACCACTTTGTTGACACTGACTTGCATACACACTTAGGGCTTGACAGAGAATAGGTCGGTACCCTCCTCCTACACACAGATCATACACACAACTGTCCACAAAGGACTGTGGAGGAAGTTGCTGATGGCAAACCGTGAAAGGTCCAGAACTACTGCTGAGGATACCACAGTGGTCAGTGTTGCTGTACAATGCTGTCTCTTCTACGGTGCAACCAGCACAGTCCAGACCTCCGCACTGTGGCCCACAGCCAGGCTCATCATCCCAGATGCTTGCCAGCTGTTAGCAAAAACCACATCAGAGCTCACAACCTCACCGTCACGAGTTTGAAAGTCATCTCTACGAATGCCATTGAAGTTTCCACAAAGACCGCATGTACCATTCTGGTAAGTGTAGGGCAAGCTGATCTGGACATAATGATCTGTGTCATAAGACACCACTAAACCAAAGTCAGTGCTGACAAACACAGAAAAACCTGACTCATAAACCTGCACGGTGCCATTGCTAAGGGAGAATGGAGTGGATGCAAAGTTCCCGTTAACCTGTAAAAAAACCAGCAAATATATCAAGTGAGAAAAGTATATCCGGTCATAAAGTGTAGAATTTATCCAGAATCAAAATGACCAACCTTAGCCTGACCACGACGTCCTTTGACAAGCTCAATTGTGTCATTGTAGACATGCACTTTCACCAGTCGTGTCAAAGAGACTCGAGTACTTCCTCTGTGCTCATTTTTGCCTTCTACTCTGTAGTAGGGCAGCCCACTATTACATTGCTCAGAGAGAACATACGTGCAAGTGCCTTGGAAGTGAAACATTCGGTTATCAAAGGTGTAGTAATGGGGATCACCGCTTATGGTGCAGGTTCCTCTTGGCACTGTCTGACAGGAGAACTGGAAGGAAGCTGGCTTGCAGATCTGTGAAAAGGAGCATGGCTGGTTGCGGCACTGCAGGCCTGTTGAGGTACATGTGCACTTCTGGGCACAGGTACTGTCACTCCAGAATGAAGCACCCAGCTGCACTAATTCACCTTAAAAAGAGTAAAAGGGAATGTCCCTTATTCCCAGTGTAAAATTTCCAGACATTTACATTCATAAAGCTTTAGGAAAAAACTTTCACACCTCACATTTTTTCATATTGTGTCAAATAACAACAGTAATTGCCTCAAGGCACTTTATATGAGTAAAGTTCCCAAAATAACAGCAGGTAAATCCCAACTGAAAAGATGGGCCCTGATTATACACGAGGAGAAGAATTTTAAGTTTGATTCTGAGAATTCTGAGAATTATGCTCTGTCCTTTTAGTCCCTGTCAGTACAGCAGCATTCTGGATCAACTTAAGGCATTTCAGTGAGTTTTGGGGACAACCTGATAATAGCAAATCACAGTAGTCCATTCTTCAAGTAACAAATGCATGAACTAATTTCTAGAACTAACACTCTGAAATAGAATTTTTCTAATTTTAGAGATACTGCATAAATGCAAAAAAAGCAATCCTGAATATGTGTTAAATATAAGCAGTGAAGGACATAACCTGGTCAAAAACAAATGCAAACTTTTCTCTTAGTGTTTCTGGAGGCCATGGTAATCCCAATCCGAGTGTGCATCGGGTTAGACATCATGTTTATAAGAGTTTTATAGCTGAGTACAATAATCTTATCTTTATCTGAATTTGAAGCAGAAAATTAAAGTTACCCGTGTTTTTATGTCTTTAAGACGTTCCCACAGTTTTGTCTTTTGGCTTCATTGACAGAGCTGGAGATCATCTGCATAGCAGTTAAAATATACGCAATGCCTTTGAAAGATACTGCCTAGGAGAACCATATATAATGTACACAGAACTGGTCCTAGCACAGAACCCTGTGGAACTCCATAATTAACCTTAGTGTGAAGACAACTCTTACAGTGGGGCAAAAAAGTATTTAGTCAGCCACCGATTGTGCAAGTTCCCCCACTTAAAATGATGACAGAGGTCAGTAATTTGCACCAGAGGTACACTTCAACTGTGAGAGACAGAATGTGAAAAAAAAATCCATGAATCCACATGGTAGGATTTGTAAAGAATTTATTCGTAAATCAGGTGGAAAATAAGTATTTGGTCAATAACAAAAATACAACTCAATACTTTGTAACATAACCTTTGTTGGCAATAACAGAGGTCAAACGTTTACTATAGGTCTTCACCAGGTTTGCACACACAGTAGCTGGTATTTTGGCCCATTCCTCCATGCAGATCTTCTCGAGAGCAGTGATGTTTTGGGGCTGTCGCCGAGCAACACGGACTTTCAACTCCCGCCACAGATTTTCTATGGGGTTGAGGTCTGGAGACTGGCTAGGCCACTCCAGGACTTTCAAATGCTTCTTACGGAGCCACTCCTTTGTTGCCCGGGCGGTGTGTTTTGGATCATTGTCATGTTGGAAGACCCAGCCTCGTTTCATCTTCAAAGTTCTCACTGATGGAAGGAGGTTTTGGCTCAAAATCTCACGATACATGGCCCCATTCATTCTGTCCTTAACACGGATCAGTCGTCCTGTCCCCTTGGCAGAAAAACAGCCCCATAGCATGATGTTTCCACCCCCATGCTTCACAGTAGGTATGGTGTTCTTGGGATGCAACTCAGTATTCTTCTTCCTCCAAACACGACGAGTTGAGTTTATACCAAAAAGTTCTACTTTGGTTTCATCTGACCACATGACATTCTCCCAATCCTCTGCTGTATCATCCATGTGCTCTCTGGCAAACTTCAGACGGGCCTGGACATGCACTGGCTTCAGCAGCGGAACACGTCTGGCACTGCGGGATTTGATTCCCTGCCGTTGTAGTGTGTTACTGATGGTGACCTTTGTTACTTTGGTCCCAGCTCTCTGCAGGTCATTCACCAGGTCCCCCCGTGTGGTTCTGGGATCTTTGCTCACCGTTCTCATGATCATTTTGACCCCACGGGATGAGATCTTGCGTGGAGCCCCAGATCGAGGGAGATTATCAGTGGTCTTGTATGTCTTCCATTTTCTGATGATTGCTCCCACAGTTGATTTTTTCACACCAAGCTGCTTGCCTATTGTAGATTCACTCTTCCCAGTCTGGTGCAGGTCTACAATACTTTTCCTGGTGTCCTTCGAAAGCTCTTTGGTCTTGGCCATGGCGGAGTTTGGAGTCTGACTGTTTGAGGCTGTGGACAGGTGTCTTTTATACAGATGATGAGTTCAAACAGGTGCCATTCATACAGGTAACGAGTGGGGGACAGAAAAGCTTCTTACAGAAGACGTTACAGGTCTGTGAGAGCCAGAGATTTTCCTTGTTTGAGGTGACCAAATACTTATTTTCCACCCTGATTTACGAATAAATTCTTTACAAATCCTACCATGTGAATTCATGGATTTTTTTTTCACATTCTGTCTCTCACAGTTGAAGTGTACCTCTGGTGCAAATTACTGACCTCTGTCATCATTTTAAGTGGGGGAACTTGCACAATCGGTGGCTGACTAAATACTTTTTTGCCCCACTGTACATGAGCCAACTGGAGTCTATTAGATTGACATGATTCAAACAAGAGCTTAATTGCTATGGCCTGCTCTAATTTCTGCAATAAAATACTGTTGTTATTAATCGCTCCGCTGAGGTCTAGCAGCACAAGTACAGAGATGAGTCCACTGTCAGAGGCCATCTGCAACTTTCACTAAAGCTGTTTCCATACTGTGATGAGCTGTAAATCCTCAATGAAATATATGACAATGCACTGTGATTAAGCAGACTAAACACATGCAATAACAATAATATGCGTAAAATTGGGATGGGCAATACAAGTGTAAATTATTATTCTGTGAAATAATTATTCAAAAACAGTTCCAGGAGCAGTGGTGTGTGATGTGCATCACAATTGTGTCTCTTCTGTATATAGGTCAGCTCTCATTGCACAACATCAACCTACTTAGATAAAGAACAGGTATTGCTAGCTGTTGGTTTTATGTAAGAAACTTGTAGATAGGGCTGCTCGATTATGGCAAAAATGATAATCACGATTATTTTCACTGAAATTGAGATCTCGATTATTTGACGATATTTATTTAACCCTTTAAGACCTACTATAGAACCAAGTCCGCCAGAGCTTATATTATTTTTTACATGTTGTAGTGCCATTTGTGGGAGCATTTCAAGTTGCTATACAACTGTTATAGCCCATATTTTAATAATATGTATGCATTAAGTCCAC